TTTAGAAGGTTTGGGTATACAACTAAAGTCAATTAGCTTATTACAAAAATGTTGAAGAGCAATACAAAATTTTAAGAAAAAAATTCACAATTTCATATATGTTCGCAAAATATTTTCACTACCCGCAAGGTCGTATTCCACATAGATTATTGTCAAAGTAATTAAGTACCAAAATGTAGACGATTAAATATTATTTAGACTAGTGCAAATTTGAATGAAAATTTTAAACTAACACTACTGAAGGCTTGTTCTAAGCTAAATCAAGAATGATAAAATAGATTCTTGGTTATGCTTTTCTCGGGATTATTCTAGCAAAGATTTCTTATTCATTCAAACCTTATTTAATTTTACCAATTGTAGGGATAATCGCTAAATTAATTTACGGCTTTCCCTCGAAAAAGTTAAATAGTAGATATTAATTGTTATCTATCTCCTCTCGGTCTCAAGATGAACAACTAACTCCAATAAGCTCCTAAGATTATAGTTCCGTCGCAAGATTCTATCAACCTCTCGGTCTAATTTTCTAATTCTAGCAATCAATTATCTCCTCTCAGTCTCAAGTCAATCACAAATATGCACAAATACGGGCCCTATATTCAAACAATTCATATAAGCACAAGAAATCGATAAATGAAATATTGACCGGAATGAATAAACAAAATCACTTCATAAAATGATTTTAGTACTTACAAATCCTAGAATCTAAAAAAGGTTTAGCTACTAAACATATTCTCAAAACTCAAAATAAACAAATCTATGAGTTCAGTGAAGAAGAAAAAGAGAAAAGAAAGAAGAACCATTGTCGTCGTTAGTTCTCAAATCTTCAATCTTGACCTTCTCGAATCCCTCGTGTGTTTCGTACTTTCTCTAGGCCTCTAATGGTGTCAAAGTACCAAAACCGTGTTCTCCAAGTTCCTTTTATATTATAGGGCAATTATGAGTCGAAAAAAGGAAGAAATCACATAAAAAAACCTATTTTCCGCTAGTTACTTTGCGCGTCACACGACTCGTGTCACTTCCTCACACGAGTCGTGTGACTTTCCTCAAATTTTAGCCAAACTTCCAGACTCACACGACCGCCCACACGACTACTCACATGACTCGTGTGGGGTCACACGACTCGTGTCACATGCTACACGAGTCGTGTGAAAAAACCGTAGCAAAATTCTTCAAATTCTTCATTCTTTTCTAGCCACACGACGTGACACCTACTCACACGAGTTGTGTGGCTCGTCTGCACATTGTTCTAGCCGTTTTTCGTCCCGATTGCATTTTCAACACTTTTTCGGGCATGTTTCTTGCAAAACAAACTATAAAAATATACCTCTATCATAGTTAATAAAGAAAACAAAATGGTGCACAATCACCACGGTAAACACAGTTAAATATCACATTATATCACTCATAATGCATGAAAATATGATAAATGTCAATATACTTATTGAATTTCTATATATCATTTAGTGTGAATTATAATTGGTTGGTTTTAGTAATAAGTATTATATAATAAAATAATTAGAAACATTATTACACTTTAATTAACCAATATGTTAAAAACAGTACTTGATTAATTTTAATTATTGGTTAATAAAAATAAAATATTGGATTGTAACGAAAAAAGGGCAGAAAATCTAAATAGTTTTATTAATTTATTTATTAGCAGTTTACAACAAATATTTATTGATCAGTGCGTTGTTTAGGGCTTGATTGTTTATTAAATAATTTACTCAATTTTATTTCATACTCAAAATTCAACTCAACTTTAACTCAACCTCACTATCTTTAATATTATTTATATAATTAAATATTACAATTCAATCATTATTACACATGACATCAACTTTAATTTACTATTCATCCACTCACATAATTTTAACAACCTAATTTTCAATTATTTATTCATATTTTTACATCAAATCAATTTTAATTATTTTATTTTAAATATTATTTTAATTCATTCTTAAATTCCACTAACAACTAACTATACTACCTGTTTTTTAAAATTAACTATGGTTAACCAAAATTACTTTGTTTGTGTTTTTTGGTCTTATTTTTTAGGTTTGGGCCGTTGGCCCCGGTACTGATTCCCCTGTGGGGGGCTTTTCTATTCTCCTGTGGGGAGCGTTCGTAGTTGGCGTGTTGGTGTTTTTTTAGTTGTGTGTAGTGTGTCCTCTATTCTAGCGTGGCTAGCGAGGTTTTAGGCGGTCTTTCGATCTGTCTTCTCAGTTTTAGTTCATGGTTGTATTATTCAGCCTTGGGCTGCTTGTTTTGCACAGTTGTGCGTTTTGATATATAATAACTCTATCGTTTCGGCTAAAAAAAAAACAAATTATTTTATAAACAACCAAGCCCTAAGGTTTTAATTAATAAAAAAATAATAAAATAAATATGTTTTTGTTACATGAAAAACAAATGAGATTTTATTAATTGTTTTTTCCAGCAATTATATATATAGATTGATAAATCTATACTTATATAATAAGGTATCCTATTTACCAAATTTAGTAGGTTGAAAAGTCAACGTAATTAATGCATTGCTATTTCTATCCAGAATTTTATTTAATTATTTTATTTATTTATTTTATATTCCATAAAATTGGTTTAAGAAAAAAAATCCCATAGCATCCGATAAGTAAAAAAAAGTACGTAAAATCTTTACTAAAATAAAAAAGACTTTATTTATTTGTCTTATTCCATAATAACATCGATTTAGTCAAAATAATTCTCATAAAATCGGTGAAGTAAAAAATTGTATGTAAAGTCTATTTATATATATATATAAAAAAAAAAAGACAGATTCAAAATTTCTTATCTAATTTTTGTTTAAAGCATTTTATTTAATATTTATTTTAATGAAATATTGGATAAGATTACTGGATCTGAGTCAATTTCGAAATCGCGTTGTTTGGCATGAAAGGATTATCCACATTATATATCTGTCTAAAGCATATTATTTAATATTATTTAATTAATTTATTTAGTATTTAATTGTTTTATCCATGAGATCAGTTTTGTCAAAAAATTGAACAAACAAACAAAAAAAGGCACGAGATTAATTACCTTCGACTTACAAAAAAATATGGGTGGACGTAAATATTTAACAATGTTGTTTTAAGTTCCTTAAATAATACTATAACTATGCTGTTTAAATATAATTTGTTTTATGGGTGACGTAAATATGCTGTTTAAAGTTTCATAAAACAATATTTTAAAAACTATGCTGTTTAAAGTTCCTTAAATATTAATATATTTAAAGTATACACATGATGAAATATATTAAAGTCAAAACAATATTGGAAGGCTTTTGAATTATCTAAATTAATTGATTTAAATGTTTAATCTTATTAAATCTTCAGTCCATTGAGTATTTTTACTAATCCCGTGAGCATGTTGTTTTGTTATTGTAATCAATTTATACACTATTTTACTAATAAATTATTTAATATCTATGTACAAGAAAGTTTTTAATAATATATGATTGTTTCTTAGAAATACTATTTTATTGTATAATTTTCTTGCGTATTATAAAACTTTATTGAATATTGCATCTTATAATATAATATTTCCCAAATAAATATATCTCGTGTCTCGCACAGGTCCCGTACTATATGTATCCCGTACATTTTTTATTCATTTATATAATTGTAAGGCTGAATAAATAACCTTGAAATTGTGTATCCCGTGAATCGCCGGTATATGTACTAGTTTACTTTAATCATGATATGTTCAGTACATTTCACATGTTACTTACTAGTTTCATTTAATATTGTCAATACTCAATATTGATAATTTTCAATATTTGGGCGCGAGAGTCTAAATCTAATTTGAATTTATTGAATATTCCAGGTCATAAAATCTAATACTCCATCCTTTTTTAAATAAATGTCGTTTTGACTTTTTTGATACATCCATTTTGCTATGTATCTAGACATACCCCAATTACAATCATTCCACGGCGGTCCTTGACCACATTCTCCAACGCCTCTCCGCACCCCAAACCCTTCTCTGACTTCAGCCGATCGTCGACCCCATCCTAGCCCAGAAAATGCTCCTGCACGGAGGACAAGGCTTTAGGAGTTCTGAAAATTTGCTCGGAAGAGACGTTTATTGTTCAAAGTCTTGTGAGGCGAGAGGGATTTCGATACAAAACATGAGCTGGCGGATTGTATTTTGGCAAGGCGATTGGTGTCGGATGTGTATAGTTATGGCGCTCTAGTTAACGGGTTTTGTATAAAGTGGGTGGGGATTAAAGAAAGCTGTGAAGGTGTTTGATGAGATGCTGGAGAGAGGTGCGCGGCTCGATGTTACATGTTATGACATTTTAAATCATGTGTTTTTTATCATGTTGATTGTAAGGCGATTGATGGGATGTGGGGGAGGTTGATTGAGGATTCTTGGGCTTATCCGAGTGTTATCATGGACAATGTTTTTATCAGTGGCTTGTGCAGTTGTGGCAAATTTAAATTAAACACAAGCCACAATCTTTATATTCACAGAAAGAGTGTGTGCTGGAAGGCAGTAGTTATCTGAATAGTACTTAGAGATAGCAATTCGCAGAATTAAACGTCAAATAAAAATCCCAAAATCATAATTCTTAAGCTCAATAGAGGCACGTTGAACAGAAAGTATATTGCTCTTTCGAGCCCTGTCTGTGTTTCTGCTTGTAAAGTTCACACAAAGCATTGAGATGTATGTTTGGTGATTTTAGTTGTTTCACCAAACAATACATGCATATATATACTTGATGCTACAGCAAAGTTGGCCTGATGTATTAGCCCCAAATAGTAATATTTTATTTGGAGTTATAACCCATGTCACACTCCCAATCTCTCTGGTTAACATACAGGTGATATTAAAAATATAACACATCACATTTTCTGTTTTGTAGATGATGAGTTGAGAAAATGCTGAAAATTTAGACAACTCATAGTATTCTATGTACAAAAAGTTTTATGTCTTTCTTCACTATGGGAGGCCAAAGATGAAAATTTATTTACTTTCTACTCGCTCATCGTCTCGTTTTCCTTCTTTTGTTCTGATTTATCCTTCTCGTTTGATAACATGCTCTGTTCGTATACGAGCTGAGAAATTAATCCTATCAGAATAACCCCAAGAACCGAAATTTTCCTCCAATCGGACGTTATAGATATCGTTGCATCTATTATTCCAAATACCACCAACCCGATCAGCCCAAGATAAATAGTCCTTCTAGCAACCGAGCCAGCACTAGTCCTAGCAAGCTCCTGAACTTTACGAGCTTCCTCCTTAGCTTTTTCTTTGTCGACCGGTTTTTTCTCCCTCAAGTTCTTGAAGAAAAGCCCTTCATTCCTTTCCTCCTCGATTCGGCTCTCGAAATCAGCCAATTTCTTCTCATTCTCTTCCGTCTCCAACTTGTTCAACTCCATGGACTCCTCAAATGACTGCATCTGGCTCTCGATATTTTCCATTATCTACACAACAAACAGAAAATATGAACCCAAAAAAAAGAGAAAAAGATGGTTCTTTATATAACTTCCTAATAAACCGACTGCACGTTATTAGTAATGCGGTTAAATTAAACGAGCATGGCTCGGCTCGGCTCGAGTTCCATTCGAGCTTGAGGCCTTAACGAGCCGAGCTCGAGCTCATTTAAAGCTCGTTTGGTACCTCGGCTCGATAAGGCTCGTTAAGAAAGTATGATTTTTTTATATAATTTTCTGTAGTTTGACTTGTTAAAACTTAAGATCGGCTTGTTAAGGCTTGAACTCGGCTCATTATTAGTGATTAACGAGCTCGAGCTCGATTTCTAGCTCGTTTATTTAACGAGCTCGGCTCGGCTCGTTAAGGACTCGAGCTCGAGCCAAACTCGAGCTAGAAACGATCGAGCTCGGCTTGTCTCGTTTACAAGCCTAGTCATTTGACACGCAAAAGAGGTGAACGGACATTGGCACCGGCCTCGTCGAGCTCACGGAGCGCATTTTCTCCGATTTGGTTGATTTCTGCATTGGCCTCTTCTGCAAAACGGGTCAGGTAAGCCGACCGCTCGTCCAAATAATCCGTGAGTTGGACCTTCTGAGCTTCGAGCATTGCAATACGGGCAAGAAGATCCTGCTTCCGAGTGTCGCCCGTGGGGCCCGGCGGAGTTTCCTCATCTGAATTTCCCGAGCTTTTGTTGGCCGTGCAGAGTATGGTAGCGGGCTTTCTCTTTCGGAAGGCTTCTTTTTCGGAAAAGGTGGGAATGTGGATTGGGGTGAAGGGTTGGATTGATTTGAGGGAAATCATGGTGTTGTGGTGTGTGCTTTGTTTGTCTTACAGTACAAGTGTTTTGAACCTCACGTTGTTATCCTTTTGCATTATCGTGTTCCGAGTTTTATGTTATTTTTGTACGTTCTTTTTCTGTATTTGCTTTCTTCCCAACTTTGGGTTTTATGTTTTGGGCTTCTTATTTTAGCATTTTTAATTTGGCCCACTGTGTGGTGTTGGTTATGGGTCGAGCAGGTTGGGCTTTTAGTAGTTTGGGGTTATTGATTGTTCTTTCGATTAGAACTCTTTGATATACACCAAATAGCCTTTTAGGAAGTTTAGATTTGGGAGATTTTTATTTTATTTTTTTAAACGATAGATTTTATACCTCAAAATTTACAAGATGAGACTCGATGACTAACTAGCTCTGCAAAACCAAGAAGGTGGACTCAAGGAAGAATGCTAACCGAAGCACTCTAGACTAAAAATAAAAACAAATTAGAATAGGATCCAAGCAATCGACAGCGTCAACATCTAAATGTGCTTGGAGCCCAATTCAAACAAAAACTATAAATATCAACAAGTTGAGATTAGAGCTCTCACAAGAGGAGAACAACCACACCTCTACACTAAAAATAACAAAATACATCTACAGTACAGTAGAATACTACGTTCTTCTTGAGATCACACCGCAATGGCTACTCAATCCAGCACACTAACCAATCCCCACCTCAACAACCAAACCCCACAAAAAAAAAAAAAAAAAAAAAAAAAA